TTTCCAACCTGCACAGAAACCATGACAACGACTGCAAGTCAACATATAAACCTGCTTTCTCTTTCCCGGTATGTCAGTGTGTGTGTGTGTGTGTGTGTGTGTGTGTGTGTGTGTGTGTGTGTGTGTGTGTGTGTTCTCCACTGAAACAATACCAGTGACGTGAGGAGAAGAGACACAGAGTTGCTGTGTGTAGCAGAAACCATAATGAAGTCCACTGTACTGACTCATCACCTCATCACAATAACAACACAACACCAGCTGGCAGGAGACCAACAGTATTGATGCTCATTTCATGTAACTGTCAACATACTAACACACTCTATAGAGAGACACACAACATATACAACAGGATGCAAGCACTGAAATTCACTAGCATTTTCCTGTTTTAAACAAAGGAATGAATGTTTTGTGGATGCCCATGGATCACTGGTAAATGTGTGTGTGTGTGTGTGAGTGTGTGTGGCTGCTATCTCTGCATGCATCAAACTAGAGAAAAAAAATCTTGTGACAAAATCTATCACCTTAACATTTCAGGGGGTGTCGTTATCCTGTTACAAATGGCTCCCAGAGCGGCTGGCGTGTCAGGGATGAGAAATCTCACACACTGTGCCATGCAGGAGCTTGAGTGCAAATCGTCACGGAAGCCACTCTTCCATTTTTATGTGACTGTCTGGCATTGGCAACGCCACTTAAAGTGAAAATCCCCCAGGAAACAAAAATCTGTTTAATGATCCTGGACGGCCTGACCAGGATTTATGAATAGCGACGCTCCTCTTGGAAAACCGAAAACCAAGACAGAGAAAGGTGTCATCACACTAACGCTCTAGGTGTATATTGAGAGTGTAGAGGAATGTTTTTAACCTGTAGAGGATCGTTTTCTCGCTCTGAACTCTTGGTATCATGATGACATTAGTCCACACAGTCCAAGCAGTCAGTTACTGATTCATCGTCAGTGGTACAGCTCAGATAAAGTCTCATCATGACATTAAAGACTAGTCCGGAGACAATTAGTTCATTACTCAAATAGCTGATACACAGAAAATGAAGAAATTTCATACTTGAGGGTAAAGTTTGATCTGTTTTATATCACTGTAAACAAAATATCTTTTGGTTTTTAGACCAAAACAAGCCATCAGAAAATGTTACACTGTGCTGTCACTATTGATTGTTCATTGACACTAATATAAACACAATTTATTAATCAGAAAAAATATCAATAGATCAATATATATTGGAAAAATGTGGATTGTAGCCCTATAAAGGCCCGGTCACAACAGCCTTGGTTGCTAATGTTGCTAAATCAGTTCATTTCAGTGGATTCACTTGTGGGGACAAAGTAAATTTACACCAGTTCTTCTCACCAAGTGAGAAGCGTTTGTCTACTCCATAACTGAAAGTGAGTGAAATACCAAGAATAAAATGCCAGAGGATCCATCCATCCATCCATCCATCCATCCATCCATCCATTTAATAAGCTATTCCCTATGAATTTTCCATATTAATGGCCAATCAAATTGTGTGATTATCATTTGGAAACCATCAAAATTCAATCTAAAGTCTTAATGCATCTGTTTAACCAAACCTCTGAATGCAGCACATCATAAAGTAATTCTTACAACATGTATATTTGCAATCTGACTGTTTGAAGGACCTGAACTCTTTTCCTTTTAATGACTTCTTTTATAATGATATACCAAGTCATTCATGAGCCCCGAGCCCTGATCAAATGAAACTGTGATGGTACTGGTTAAAGCACACAAAGAAAAACTGCAGACTGCTACAACACTGTATCACACATGAATATCACAGACTGCCCTCAGACACGAGCGCTCATTATTTCCAGCCGACATGCTACACCTGTTTTCTCTCCCTCCTGTTTCTTCCTCTCTTCCTGTTCTCTGATGCCTCTCCTTTATCAGTTTCCTTTCCTCTCTCTCGCTTCTCACAACCTAAGAGATAATTACCTCCACCAAGGCAGTGAGAATTAAAGCTGTGAGAGACAGAGCACAGAAGAAGGAAGGAAAAAAAAAAAAGCGAGAGAACAGCGTGTCTATATGTCCAAGCAAAAACAATACACTAACTGCAGGCAGGCAGCCGAGTGGAGGTAACACTGCGTTTAGCGCCGTGGCGGGGACGGCTGCTGGACGAATGTCACAGGTGCAGATCTGTGCAAACGTGGGCGAAGGTGCAGGGGCGGGTGGGTGCACAGGTGTAAACTGAAAGTAGCCTATCTCATGCATGCATGCACAGCGAGGACACAGACTCTCACACACACACACACACACACACACACACACACACACACACACACACACACACACACACTCATCTCGTACATTTCAACACTCTGTCGCACGACTCTGTTGGAGCTAATGACTAATAAATAATGTATACACACTTTGTTCAACTTGCCTACTTTTCCCATCTCTGCTTCTCACTTTCCACTGACACAAACACACTGTTCTGGCTCCCTCTCCCTCCTACTAAACATACAACCCCCCCTACCACACACACACACACACACACACGCGCACACACATACACACACACACACGCACACACACTTACAGACACACACACTCACTCTTCACAGGAACAATCTGTCCCGTTAATGTGAGGTCATGGCAGACCGTTTTTCCACTTATCAGCCCTCTGGATTTAAATAAAGCACTATCACTGATACACTGTTGCCTAGAAACACAATAGGATGCATCAATATCAGGATTTACCCGCTAGAAACCTACAAGACCCCTTTAGATGTGAGCCATGTTGCCCCCTCTGTGCAGCTGCAGATTTCCCTGCCACAGTTGCCTGCCTACTGTCATATTGTGCTGTAAAGAGATTTGAGGGGATATTCCATCTGATCTCTGTTGTGTTTGTGTCTCTCTATCACAGCTGCCAACTTGCTCTTATTTCCCAGGAGTCCAGGTTATTTTAGTAGTTCAATTTTAAAAGTATTTTGATGCCTTCCAGTAGGTTTTAATGAGACAAATTGATCAAAAATGGAAAACTTCATTCCCGGCGATGACAGATGTGCTTTCTTCACATTCCAAAAAAATCACTTCAGCCATACCTTCTCTTTTTTTAATGTTTTTTTTTTGTCTCCTCTGGGTACGGATGACGCATGAGATCCAATGGCATTTACAGGAAGTGCACCCATGACCCCCAGTGCCCAAGCATGCCTTATGTAACCACAGCCCCCTCCGGTTATGAGGCATTTCCTGGCACCAGTGATAAAAGATTAATACCTATTCTTACATTACTCAGAGCACTTCCTTCCATGAGAACACTTGGTGCAAATGCAAGACAGGCATATACAGTATTACTCTATACAGTATTATGAGTGTGATTGAACTGATTAAAGCAACTTAACATTACAGATAAGTGCATGAGTTTACCGTTGTTTTGCAAGTTTATTACTCACACTGTGTTATAATATAATACACTAATGGACTATAAATCATTTGTATTCTTCTTTTTGTTGTTGTTCAAAGTTGAATGTGGCTGCTTCATATTCCTTTTATTCATTTAATAATGTAATAGTATATTATAAGTCACAGTCAGGGCTTCCTCGTGCATCTGTTTAGGACCTGCCACATGTGTAAATATATTTTTCTATAACATATCAATAAATAAATGAAGGTTCAGCTGAGCTTTCAGATGTGCCTCATTTTGAGCCAGGAAACCCCTCTTTATTCATTTGTATTATCAGGAGCAGACAGTGGTATTAGTAATAGCTGAAGAAGAACTCCTAACAGTGGGGAATATTTGTTTAAGTCTATACTTGAAGCCATTTTATTCTCATTTCTCTTTCATTATGAGATCATCATTGTTTCTGTGAGTGTGTTCCTCTTCTCTTTCATAAGACTAAATGAATAAATCATGGCATAAATTCACACTGCTCTGTCAGAGGTAATGAGATACGCTAGGCTACATATTAGCATGGGAAGATAATCATCTGAGCGCCTCTGATATCTGCCTCTCTGCTGGTTTTCTGCCCAGATACAGGAGGGGTGAAAGTGGGAACGTGGCAGGATGCTGGCTGAAATCTAGCAGGGTTTATAATGGGAATTAAATTTTCCCTCAGTGGTTTGTGTGGTGATTCAGAGTGTGTTCTTGTGGCCCCAAACAAACCCTGTTAACCCTGTTAATACCAACTGTGGGAAAAAAAACACTCAGCTCAAAACACACACTGATGCGTCTGCTAATGAAACGATACTATTCTACAACTGTTACTGCAACTATGACCGTTTCACCTCATGGGAAATTTGTACTAATTTGTACTACAAGTGAATTATTCAATTCAAAAAAATCCAAACGACATTACAGACTCAACCTGGCCCGTTTTACATTAAATTCAGAAACACTTTATCAAAACCTAACCATTAACATAACAAATGACACATTAAACCTGAATTTACCTGAAACTTTAATTTTTTTGTTGACTCTCATCGCTAACACGCTAACACGCTAACCATTACAACTATATGGTGATGATCTGTCAGTGTCCACCACCCCCCAGAAAAAACTTCAATCAATGCTGCTTTGACAAAAATTATTGAACCTTAACCCAAAAAGTTTGACAGCAAACTGAACCAATTATCTTTATAGAAATTAACTATACTACAAGTTTGTACAACTTCTATTTTTAGCTTTGTCTTCAAAAATAAACCATTCACTTATCATTAATATAATAAAAATATATATATATTCACAGCTAATATTATGTAGCTAATATATTCATTCCCTGACCATGTTTTACATATACAATATGTTATTCTCAGCTGAAGTCTGATAAACCGTCCAGCGAACAGTCTAGTCGTACTGGACTGGACCCTGTTATTGTGGCTGAACTTTCCAGTGACTTTTCTGAACTCAAGTCAGATCTATATGCTCACAGTCTCTGTGTGTGTGAGCACATGAAAACGATTGTCAAGGCATACGTGTGTTAATCCATCAAGTCTGTCGCCGGCCTGAAAAGTGAGTCAGTGGAGCTTCACCTTGACATAGAGCTGCTGGAACTCCTCCAGGTTGAGTCGGCCGGTGGGACAGTCCTTCAGGAATCCCTTGTACCACTGCTTCAGCTCGTGTTCGTTAAACTCTGTGTTCTTCACCAGATCCTCCATCACTTCAGGGGTCAGCTTGCTGTTCTGTTTCCCCATTTTGCCTGCAAACGGGGGATAGCAGCGGACACACACACACACACACACACACACACACAGACACACACATGCAGAAAATAATTCATGTTAGAAATTTTTCAATTCATACAGAACACAAAGTGCCTCTACTTGATATGAACCTACAGTAAAAGTCTGGTGGGTGATCGGAAGAGTGATTCATCAAAGCTAAAAAACAGATTTCTATGGGATGGGAACTGTGAAAACCAATGCTCCTTCTAAACATACACTTTAAAACAAATGGACTGTAACATGAAGCACAGGAATAGTGTCACGTGGGAAATTAGTCCTATTAACAAAACATGCAACTTTCTTTCTCTGTCGTTCTTGGAGCGGCTGCCTTTCCTAGTTTTGATTGTTTGTTGCTGTTTTAGTTTTAGGGGAACTCTGAACCTTTTAAATCCAATCTGAGTTTTTACATTAAATTCTTTTATAAAACATGAGTGGAATTGTATATTTTTAATTTTCATTCCAAAATAAAATAGCCTGAGGGCTGAGTAATAGAACTAGGTTTTCAGCCCAATAATTTCAATCAGTTTGTTGTGAGGAAAAGTGATTGGCCGCTTCCTTCATTTTTTCAATATTACAAGCCCCAGCGTATTGTAATGTGATTTTTTTTTTTCCCCAATCAAACCTTTTGCGGTTTCCTGTTGTTGCCTTTGGCGAGCATCTCTGCATTTTGAAATGGGTTATAATGACATCTTAAAGTAGTTGGCCCGCTGTGACTTTTGAGAGGAACTCAAGTGTGTTTTGCTGTTTAATGTCCCTTAATTTCTCCACTGCAGCTGTTTGCACCCAGCTGCCTCTGTGTCTCGCTGTTTGTGCTAATGCTGCCACTTTATGGCCTCGATTAGTTCATCAGCCAACCTCCTAATTATCATAATTTGCAAAAGATGGTTAAGAGTTTTGGAACATGTTCTACTCTTGCTCTCTTTGCTGAGATGGTTTATTAAACCTCTTTAGCTTGAAAAGACCAAAGGAGATATGAGGCAGCAACAGTATGTGTGGTGCCAATCTGTCTCTGCATGCACAGGCGCGAGGAGGGGAGAGTCAGGCAAACATCCAAGAGTTGCTGCAGTCATTTGCTGCGGCCTGCCATTATGTATTGGTTTTTACTAAGCTCCATTTCCTTATGGTCGCGTCCTAAGTTTTTATTTCGATATGCTAAAAAAATCAACACAGCTAAAATTCACTTGAGATCGGTAGAGCATCATTTTGCAGCCTGTTTTTAACACCAGCGTCTCATTACTGTTGTGTTGCAATGACACTGAGTGCAGAGCCCGTTTTAAACATGCTCCCTGTGGTGCATTCAAAGACGCTCCAACATCCAACTCTGAAGTTGGCTGCCAAACAGCAACCTTGTTACTGCAAGAAATGACTAAATTAACACAGCACCCAGGCTCGCTTGCTGATCATCGTTTGAGTTTGAGTTTGTCACGGCGCTGCGCTGCGCACGAACACGAACACTGTTTCCAAAACGGTCCCTGCTGACAGCTCCATCAGGTCAATAACATAACTACACCATAACAATAAAGTAGAAAGGTCCTCTGTGATACATTATCTTATGCAAGCCTCTGCAAGTTTAAGTTCTTACTGTAATGAACAGTTCAATGGAAGGCAGCATAATCGGCTAAAACATATCAAACACTGTGCTACTTTAAAGGAATAGTTGGACATTTTAGGAAAAACATGCGGTAGCTCTCTTTCTGATGAGAAGATCGTTAGCACTCTCATGTCTGTATGTTAAAATTGAAGCAGTAAGCATCCAGTTAGCTTAGCATAGCAATAAGACTGAAAACTAAGGGAAACCAATGGCCTGGCCAAAGGGCCTGTCCATTTTTTTCTTTTCAGAAAAGAAAGCCTAAAAACAACGATAACTAATGTGACTTTTAGAGGTCGGAGTATAACTGGGGCTGGGAACATGGACTTCCTGGAGTGTGCACCGGTTGCCTGGCAACCTCACAATGACGATAACACAGGAGTTTGTTACCTGTGGACTGGGTCTGAAGCCGCTTTCACCTGTTTCCAGACTTTATGCTAAGCTAATTTAACCAGCTGTAGCATCATATTTAGCATATAGATATGAGAGTGTGTGTGTGTGTGTGAGTATGTGTGTGTGTGTGTGTGTGTGTGTGTGTGTGTACTGTGGGTATATGCATCTAATTTGGTTGTTGTTGACAGAGAGCGGGAGCAGTGGAGGGAGTGACACGTCAGATCAGAAAAGTTAGCCTCAGCCAATGTAGAAAAAAATGAAATTAATTCCTCATTCCATAAGAACCTCTGGAACCTTCGCAAGCAGCTCAGACGGCCCCTGGGACACAATCTGGAAACCATTTGTCTACGGAAGAGGGATATACTCTGCCCCCAAATTCACTTCTGAAAAATGCTTTCAGCCAGGCACAGCAGGAACCAGGTTTGAAGAGGAACTCTGGATTAATAATGCACAAAACTGAAGTTATGTAATGACTAATCATGGCTCTTCACCGCCTGTGAACCAAATGGGCAACACAGCAAATAAATGAACTTATTACAACTTAAACAGCTGCAGGTATGAAAAAAACTGTATTATCCATTATACCCCAACCAATACAGGATTTTTAGGGCTGATATTAATATCAATAATTGGGAGGTTAAGAATAACGATATATTAGCTGATAATAATGTCTTTTAAACATAAACATAACATAAACTAAAATCTTGATACGGGTACCTTACACTATTTTCAAATGTTATTTCATTTTTATTGTGATCAAGAAACAAACTTGATTTTATAGTGTAAAAATACATTTGTTGACACACTCTGTTATATAATGTGGCTCAAATCTAGCTCAGCATCTCTGTGCTCCAGTTTCTTGAAGGTTGGGCTGACATATACGCTGATACTAATATATTGGCAATAAACTTATATTGCCAACATATCAACCTGGTTGACTTATCTATTGCTCTATTGTGTATTTCCCTTTGGAAAAGACTCATGCGACTAAAAAGTCTCTTCCCTCGGGACCAAATATCGCACTGGAAGAAGCTCTCACTATCAGCTGAGCCCCTGATGAAGCCGCTGCCCACCAACAAACATCACTTCAAGCTGATCTTTGATGAATTAATAAGGGAAAAGCCACATTTTCAAGCTGTATGTGAGCATGGCTGAAAATCAACTCAACTAGCCGTCATTAATTTTCAAGAGGCTTTTGATGACCTGCATTTGCACAAATCAAGACCCTATTCTTTTTGCTTTTTGACTCCCAAATACGGGAGTTCAGCTAAGAATTATGGATCATTTACGGAGCCGGGACACAAAGCCACAGCACCACAACATCCCATTCATCCAAACTTTTCCCCTACATTTGTAGCCCTGGAGCGGCAGGTCATCTACTACCATGGTCTGTGTGTGAGGAGGCCATATTGTGTCCGGCTGTTATGACACAGATTACACAATATGAGCACAAAAAAGTGTCCATCGCTCAAATAGGAGCTTTTCAAGAGCACAGAAAAACACCCTCATGTGAACATGACCCGCTGGGCGTTCTCAGTGCATTCAGCTGCTTCTGAAAACGAGAGGAAGTTGTACTATTTTCTCATTCACAACTGACCCTGTGATCCATCAACTGCAGTTTCATTGTGAAAATCAACTAAATTTGTCTCCTGATATTTTTGGCAGCAACTATAATCACAGTAGCAGTGGATCAGCAAAACTGCAGCTTTTTCCTTCAAAACACAAACTCATATCCGTCTGACTCATGTAGCATTCACAATAAGTCTTGGTGATAAGTGAAAATTATGCTACAGCATTCATTGCAGAGCCTCGCATGAATGCTTCTCATTTCAGTTTTATTGCTCCAGGAATAATGGATGACAATTTTCCTTTTTGGTTCTACGTGAATTTGTTTTTTAGCAGGGTTGTGCACTGATATTTGGATTGGATCCAAGGAAGTAAAAGAGCTGGATTCATTAAAAGGGTAATCCAGTGATTTAGTACTGCATGTCCATAAAGTTAAGAGACTTGTGAGAGACAGATTAAAAATAGAATCAAAACAGCAGAGGCTGAGATATCCTGACATTATTCCCTAATATGGGTCAAAATTCAAAAACACTGGAACCTATTTTTCCATAATGCAATCCATCTTTCCAAAGAAGATTTAGTAGTTATTTTTTGGGCAGTTTTTGCCTTTAATGTTTCAGCAAAGGACCCGGGCTGGATTTGAATGGCAAGGACTGAGCCAGAGTGGTATGGGCTCTGTGAAGATTAGGTTTTATTAGTCTTGTTGAAAAATGCTGATGCTGCTGCAAAGAATGCATGTTTTCATATTTGACAAGATAAGCTACCCTCTTTCTCTCTCTCTCCTCTCTCTTTCTGTACAAGCCATATACCAAATATTTAGGTTGTTATTCAGCCAGCAAATTACCAGTCTTACTTCTTGGTAAATTATACTTGAGTTTTAGTTTTTAAATATTCAGATATTTCAAACTTAACTTTCCGTTAAAGATATTTTGTTATAGCACCAGATCACAACGAAGTGATCTCCTCCCAAACAGACTACCTACTCAAATACATTCAATTAGGGATTCAGTATGATCAATAAGTGGATCTGATGCTTTATAAATTTCGACTGAACTGCAACTGCTCGTTTAATAAAAATCCAAACAGTCCTGCACAGCACACAGTATAGTGTGTTATCAGTTTATGTAGGCAGCAACTTAACTCAATTATGTCCAAATGTCTCAAATGAAAACTACCCTCTCCTTCTCTCAGTACTGCAGTAGAACTGAGGAGGCAGTGCACCGTGACATCACGTTGCCAACACTTTTCTGTTACAATATGGGCTGCGAGACAAGATGGGCTGAACCTGAAGACGGCAGCTGCAGCAGGAGATAGATGTGTCCCGGGAAAGATGAGAGCACAAGATGTGTGACAGCCTGGCTGTTATGTCACTGTGTAGGTGGGTGGGTGGGTGTGTGTGGGTGTGTGTGTGTGTGTGTGTTCTTATATATATACAATATATCTCCAACCCATAACTCAAATATGTGCACATTGTCTTTAAGACTTATCTTTACAGATTGAGCATGTTTGTGAATGTGTGTGCACTTTGCATCCTGGGACAACACGAATCATCAAGCGCATTATGAGCATACTGTCAGCATAGGTGATGCTGCAGCACACACACAATACAGAAAACCTCTGAGGAGTGAACACTACAGCTACAAGCTTCTGGTGTGGTACTAAATGTTCATTCACTTCCAATATGTTCCCAATGTTCTTGGGAACTGCATCATAATGCAGGTGTTACTCATGACTCTGTCTACCTTCATTCATGCAACAAGCAGCAGAGCAGGATCTGCATCTGTATTGTGTCAGCGTGCTGCTGGGGGGGGCCATATCATACAGTCACATCTGGGCCTTACTGCCAAAAAATAGCTTATACTGTATATGACAAAATGCAATTACTTTTAATCCTTGAGTGATTAATTTATGGTGTACAAAAAGACTATCTGACACTTAAATAAATCACACATTTTTAATACCGCCCCCCTCAGCTCACTTTTTGTAAAACCTGTAACTGCACGACCTTTGAAGTGACGCAAGTGGCAACATGATATGTTGGAACATCTTCCTTCACAGTTTTAAATATCCTTTTTAAAGACAGTCATCTCCACTGTAATTTTTCAAAGCTGCCAATGAGCCCTGTCTCCATTCACCATCAGCCTGGCTGAGCAACAAATGAGGAATGGACTCAAAACTATCTTTAAATGTGAGATAACTGGACAAAATGTCTCCACTCAGATCGATCGCTCGTCAGCAGCCAACAAATGTGATAATGATGACATTTTTTTCCACGTTCTCCAGCTCACTCTGTTACATTTTCACCAGATAAACACGGGAGAAAAGTGCACCAGCAGCAAACAGGGAAAAGAGGAGGTAAAGGATTCATGCAAGGAAAGTGAGATGAAAGTAATCAGGGTGTGATTGGAGACGGATGCAGAGGCATGACTCTTGTTAGCACGAAACACTGAACACACCCCGCCCCCCCTGTTAGCTCTTAATGTTATGCATGGCAATGTTTTGCACCAGTTACTCACATCTACAGACAGCTGGTGCATAATTGAAAAATGTCAGTGCTTTTCTTTAAGCTGGACGAGACATTGAGTCTGGGACGAGACATTCTGGGTCAGTCTGCAGCGCTATGCAGAGCAGAGCACCATGCTGACTCCAAACCTGAGTCATAGCCCTGTATCTCCCAGTCCATTGGGACTTTGGCACAGCCAGAAAAGAAAGAAAAAAACATGGATGTAGTTACACATGAGCAGACAGGTGTAGACTGACGCAAAGATATATTGTCAGATGAGTAATTTTACGGTCCTGTAACAAGCAGCAGACCTGCCTCTGAGCCAGGCGATGGGCTATTACATAACACCGTCCCTTTACCATCATTTGCCAACAGGGGATGACCTTGAGAGGCAGGCAGAGCCCCGGCCCAGAGGCACCATCTGATAGGAACATGGCAGGGGTCTGATTCTGGTAAATCTGGTAGATTTCTGTGTAATCCTGCTCTCCTTATTGTCTAAAAATATATATGTGTGTGTGCTCTATGTGTGTGTGCGTGTGTGTGTGTGTGTGTGTGTGTGTGTGTGTGTGCGCGTGTGTGTGTGCGTGTGTGCAGGAGAGGCGCTGGTGGATGAGATGTGGTCATGCCTGCATTGATTTGCAAAAAAGCAGCCTCCCAATGAGGATGATGTGGGTTAAGGAGACACACCACACCCCCACCTTCCTCCTGCACACACACACACACATACACACACACACACACACACACACACACACACACACCCTTGCAACATCAGCACCAGTGCCAAACTACCAACAGGATATATCACACCACATAGTGCCATGTTGTAGAAGCCAATCCATGCAGAGGCTAATTATAATCGACCAAAATCAAATAGTCTGACCGATGCTGGTTTGTCTGTCTTCACTTTGTTGATGAATAAAAGCCTGACGTGTGTGTGTGTGTGTGTGTGTGTGTGTAGGCAGTGAGAGTAAAGCCCAAGCAAGACAAACCCACATCATCTTAATGTTGATAAGTGTTTGCGTGCAAAACGTGCAAATAGCACCAGGGATGAATAAAACAACTGCCGATGCTCTATTGATAAATTATATATGTCCTTATTGTAATTTGCGTCTCATTTATATGGACTTAACACGTCAATAAATACATAAATTAGACTTATGAAACCAAAAGGATGACGCACCGGGTTGGATCATGCCAATATGCATAAAAACTGAGTTATCAATGATGAAAAAAATTGTTTTTTCCATGCATCATTCAATATCTTATCCACAGCATCCATCCTACCTTGCGAGAGTGCGGAGTGAACGGGAGAAGTCCGGTGTGATGTCTGGAGTGGTCACAAAAACCTGCGAAGACGGAAAAAAAACAAGCGATTCAGACGACTAAAAATGCTCCTCTGTCGAGCCACTTGTAGCTTAATATTTCTTTAGTGTGTTTTTTTTTAATTCTGTGATGATTCTATTTTATTTTTTATTTTTGTGCGGGAGAAAAGTCAGCCTCGACTGAAAGTAAGCGGCGCAGGTCCGTAGGATGATGCTGCTGCACACACACTGCTGCCAGTGAACAGAGAGGAGGAGACAGATACTGAAAGGGAGGGAGAGAGAGAGAGAGAGAGAGAGAGAGAGAGAGAGTGAGCGGTACATCTCTGCCTCTCCCGCTGCCACTCACTATATGTGTGGTCGTTGACTCTCGGATGATGCTGCCACGAATTAAGAAAAATAAAGACAACCAGAAATGTCAAACACAAGCACGAGTTTTCATATTTAAAGTTAAGCTATTTCATAACCTTTCGGTGCCGTCCAGCGCTAAAAATAAGGCAAACTGCTGCTCTAATCTGTTGAAGATGAGAGGAAAATCCCCACAATGTTCAAATTAGCTAAACCACTAGAAGCCATCTGTTTGGCTTATCATCCGCAATAGTTTCGCGCCACACCGAAGATAACAGGAAAACCACAGTCACATTAGCTAACCAGTTTACTTAACCCAAGTTACTTGGCTGGGTGTGTCAACTTTAATGCGTAACAAACTAATTCATAAAGGTTAGTAACGTGAATAACAATTAATAGATGGATAAAGACGTAAAATATACCTCTAGCTTCAGATAATGTCATAGGCAATAGCCGGAAGTACGGTGTAGCTAATGGAGGGTTTACTTATCTTAATACCTCGGTAAGCTAGCTTGTGCGATTCGTAATGCTAAAGTCGTTTTATTTAACATACTGTAAATGGCCTGTAGTATAGTTGGTAGTTGAAGGAAATTAAAACCGACGTCTGAAAAAGCAGCTCATCTTTGTATAGCCATTTTTACTCTTGCTTTAGCTAGCTAACTGGCCAAAGCTATTAGCTATCATAGAAAGTCAAGTATAAACAGAAGCTAATGTTAGCATCGAGCTAGCTTCAAAAGATTTTCTCTTGCAAAATTTAGCTAGCTAAAAGGAAGCGAAAGCTTTTCTAGGTAACGTGGGTGACACAAATCAGCCCAAACAGCAAATAATCAGTTTAGAATAAGTTTTTTTTATCCCACAAAGAGATGGCCTGTTGGTATGAATTGTTGTGTAATGTTGAGTGGTTGTAGAATATCATGTGGTATTTTAAAGTTCATTTTGCTACAAAGCATGGATATGGCAGCAGGAGCATTATCATTTTATTTATTTTTTGTTATAACATTTTAGAGTGCTTGAGAAAATAGGTGCAGAAACTTATACAACAAATAAAAATACCCTCTTGTGTTTTAACATCCGTAAATGTGCCTGTGTGTGACAGGCTGGTCTGCCAGGTAACAGATGCATCACATGTTTGATGCCCATACCCTGGTGTCCTAAAATTTTTCTTTCTAACAGTTCATTAATTTGCATGAGTATGAGAAGTGTTTTCTACTGAAGACATTTTAACATGTAGGGAAAGCACAGGAGTAAATCATAAAATTAGTGAGGGCTGAATTACTTTGGTTTCAGGTATTGTTCATGTTGCGTGGCTCACTGTCATACTGTCCTGGTTTACTGGTACACTTAAATAGAACAGAGCTGCTGTTAATGTTATTAATAACACCTGTGCTTTTCCCACTATGAAAAGTCAAAATGTTTGCTGTGAAAAAGGCCTATTGTGTTTATGGTAACAAAGCTAACATTGTCAGGAACTGATGGGGGTTGTTTTAAGTAGGGAAGCATCAGAACAATGACAGTGCTATAGAGCCATTTCTGTATTCTGTACAGTGAATCAGTGTCATGCTGTGTTACAAGCTGTTCTGGTATAGGAAATCCTCTCACTGCATATTACGTTGTTATGTCCTTTCAGAGGTTCACTGTGAGATTACTTCAATGTGACTTGAGCTGCAGGTTTGTTGCGAGGTGAGTTACTGTAGCTATTATACAACAAAGCATATTCGCTATTGTGGAAATGCAGATGGGTATGTAGACTACAGTACAGGCTGAAGTTTGCAAGACCATCACCCACCAGCCTTTTTTTCTTTTCTGGTCTGAATAGTCTTCTTCAAAAGTGGAATTGTTTGTATGTTATCTACATTTTTGACATGAATGCTTTCTTTTAATACAGTAACGTTTATTGATCTGAGCAGCGTGGCTTTCTGATGCTGTTCATACTCAAGCTGTTTCTATTTTTGGTTTAGCAGATAGAAGAAAATGGATAAAATCACACACAAAGACACCAGTCCACAAAGAGAGGGAGAGCTAACTTCACCACTCTCTCCAAAACGGCCAAGGACGGATTGTACAGTGACAAACAACCAGTGTGGGAAAAGAAGCATTGACTTTCCTGAGCTTTTGACATTTCGGAAAATGATTGGCTCCCCATCATCAAAAAATACCCTACAGAAGAATGTGGTACGAGTATGCACAGCAGAAAGTGAAGACATTCAAAATGAAAACCTTTATGAGCAACCACAAGACACTAAATTTATTGTCACCCCTATTACTGCACTCACAGATGATGTACACATAGGATTGTCTGAAGTCTGTTTTATCACTGCTGAGAGACACCTCCTACATCTGGGGAAAGATGAGCAGCCTCCACTTACTGAAACTGACAAGCTCAGCTCATACCCGCCTGATGATGCAGGTGGGGCATTAGCAGAGTCTCACACTTCAAACGACGCCAGCGCTGACACGTCCAGTCATCCTGATTGCAAATGGCTGGGGAAATCACTTGAAGACGAGCCCCCTGGTGGTTGCTGTTTTCCTGTTGGAGATGACGAAGATGGGAGACAGGTGCAAAATAATGTCAATCAAATCCAAGCATTCACCCTTAGTTTAAGTGATGAAGAGGTCAAATGTCCGTCTGATTGCACTTATGAAGATGCCCTGCATGACGCAGGTTTCTGTAATATATGGAGCCAATCTGCTGAAGATCAAGCAAGTAATCAGAAGAAGAACAAGCCGGTATTTAGTGAGAATATCCTTTTCAGCAAAGAAGAGGAAGAGGGTAACAGTCATATATCTCCCAGTGATTATGCAGACTCAAAATCATTTTACTCTAACCCAGAAGAGTCTGGGAACTTGGCAGAAGGTGTAAAAAATGAGGAAAAAATATCAGAACTGCAGATTTGTGAGGATGAAAATGTTGCCAACTGTGATGGGGAAACAAAAGGCAACGTTAATGAGAATGGCATGAGCAAAAATTCGATCCCTACTGTTGCTGAATGTGCTGAAGGATCAACTGTTTCTTATGATGTGGTATTAGCCAGAAATATTGCAGCTGTAAATGTGAGTGTTGAAGTTGATGACTTCTGTGGAGCAGAGGGAGAGAATGCTGCTGGCAATATGATAGCCAAAGCTTGGAGTGAGACGGCTGATCACACAACAGAGACTCCAATGCCTGCAAGAATCAGTCAAGAGCCCGCTGAAGGAGATAATGATCCAGGCCCTTTCGGTGTAATTGACCCTGCAATCTGGAGTGAAACTGACAGGGAGGGTGAAGAGAAACGCTGTAACTCTGAGAGTAGTGCAGGTGTAGAATTATCTCCATCAGTAAAAGTCTGCGAGACGGAAATGCTTCTTTCACTGTGTTCTGACGTCAGGCCATCACATGTGGTTTCATCTCCCGGCCAGACCAGGCAGTTTAATCAGCAAAGCACAACACAGCAGTGCAAAGATGAAAAAGAGGATTTATGTCAGTCATGCACAGAACCACAGGCTTGTTCCATCCCCATCAATGAAACATACAACATGACTGGCAATGAAAGCAGCTGTCATTGGAAATCTAGTCCCAGCAGCAGTCCACACGGGCCCACGAAGCCTCCTCCTACTGGGGTCGGTAGACACGAAAGCCACAGTTCTGTGAGACATGAGTTGAAAGAGCAGGATCAATCCAGCTGTTTTCCTGTCAGCCCTGACCACCTGAAGACACACAAGGTTGAATATTCACAGACTGAGACAACTAAGATAAAAGAAAGAGAGGATGTGACAAGTTTTGTGGAACAAATAAAAGCTGATGAACTTTGGAACTTGGAGAAAGCAAAGGAGTCAGAGGAAGAACTTCTGCAACAAAATGAAAAAAACAAAGAAAACACAAACGAAATATCAACCGGGGAATACATCGGTGACTGGACAGAGGGAGAAACTAGTGAATGCAACAACCGGTTAACTCTTACAGAAGATGAAGCAAAAACTGAAGAAAAGGAAGGAAAAGAAGTGACAAATGTTGGAGAAGAAATGAAAACTGATGGGCAAGAAAATATTGGTGTGGAGAAGAATATTTTGGTGAAAATAGACAATGATCTGCAGCAACGAAATGAACACAAAACAGACATGACTGAAGTCTCACATGTGGGATCTGTCAGTGAATGGACAGAGGACAGCGAAGTAAGCCAAGTTAGTCAACTTGAACAAGGAGATAAACTCAGCCGTTTCCCTGATTACCAAAAAAGAGCTAAGACATTTATGGATGAAAATAAAGATGAACTTTTAGTTTTCACCATTCCTCCAACAAGTGATGCAGTTGTGCCATGCCAGCATGATCTCAGCCATTCACAAAATGTTAACAAGAACCCCACAGCCCTTAACTGTAATGACAGATTTTCCCCAGTGCCATCTGCCTTCACTTTCTATGATGGGGTGCCGGGGGGTTTTGACACTTTCGAAAAAATCCAGCTCTCACCAGACGGTGATGATGATGACGATGCTGCTGGCCTGGGCAACAAGCCTCTCCTCACCAGCTTGCCCGGGCAGCTGTTGAAAACATCAGAGCGACAACTTTCCCACTCCATGCCAGGGGCAGAGAGTGACAAGTACGATGAGATACCAGGAGAGGAGGAAGAGGAGGAAGAGGAGAAAGACGCGAAGGAGGAGGTGGAAAGATTGGAGTGTCACATTGAGAACATGGTAAATGAAATTTTGAGCACTGATTCCACTTGTAATGAAATGCCAAACTTTATCTCAGAAGCAGATATTATTGCTTTCGCATGGCCAGAGCAACAGCTTCAGTGTAAATCAGCCTGTGATTCTGGTGAGCACATTGAGGATGAATTCAACCCTCAGTCGGTGACCTCCACTGTTTCCACTGACAGTGACAGTCCATCTGATGTGAACGGCTGCCCTCAG